AATTTTCAAACGTCAAATACAAAATTACAACGGGCAAGTTTTGTTATAAAGAGGAATATAATCAGACACAACTCTATGTAATGGGGGACATCTCCGAATAACCGTACCGTTGAATTCAAACCGTTTAACCGTCCAGTTCTAACCGTTTACGGCTATCCGACTAGTCGTAGGAGCACTATGCCTGACCCCCAGGGGCAGAGCCATGCTCATTTCTTGTATTTGTTTGTCGACTACAGGCCGCATTTCTTAACGTATCATCTTGAAACATTGCATACTTATTCCTTATGCCCTGAGGAACATTCCTATTGTTTGTGGTGCATGCCGACCCCCAGGGTTAGAGCCACGCCCATTTTCTTTTTGTGTGTTTGTGTCGCCTACCTTCTGCAATTCTTAATCAATTGTCTTGAAAACTTTTCATACTTATTCCTTATGCCCTAAGGATGACCTCTATTATATTTGATGCATGCCCGACCCCCTGGAACAGAGCCACGCCCAATTTTTATGTGTTTCTGTGTTTTGCCTACAAGCCGCAATTCTTTACAGATCCTTTTGAAACTTTGCTTACCTATTCCTTACACCCTAAGGATGATCCCTTTTGTTTTTTGGTGAATGCCTTACCCTCAGGGACAGAGCCACACCCATGTTTTCTTTGTGTGTCTGTGTATTGCCTACAGGCCACAATTCTTAACGGATCATCTTGGAACTGAGCATAAATATTCCTTTATAGCCTAAGGACAGCAACTATTGATTTTGGTGCATGTTCCGACCCTAAGGGGCAGAGCCACGCCCAATTTTTATGTTTATCCTATACAGGCCGCAATTCTGCATGGATCAGCTTGGATCTTGGCATATGTATTCCTTATAGCCGAAGGTTGGCAACTATTGATTTTGGTGCATGTCCCGACTCCCACTGGGAGAGCCACGCCCAATTTGTGTTTAGCGCCCGAAGGCCATAATTCTGAATGGATTATCTTGAAACTTGGTATACTTATTCAGACTTATACCCTAAGGATGGCAACTATTGATTTTGGTGTATGAAACCCCACCCCCCCACCCACCCACCCCCCACACACACTCCCCACACACACTTTTTGTTAATATTTTGTCAGTTGTAAATGATATACAGGCTGAAATTATTAACAGATTTGGATCCAATACAGAATGAGTTATAGCCAGAGTTATAGTCCTTGATCACTTTGAAAAATCTTGTGGACGCTCTAGAGGCTAAAGTTAATATCCGATTGACTTTAAATTTATACACAGTGTTTAAGGTCATGAGACGTGGAAGCCTATTGATTTTGAATGAATTTTTATGACTTGAACAGCTAAATCCATGTTGTTAAAAGTTTCGTATACTAAACGTTAGCATGGGAGAGAGAGAGAAATGGGGTTTAACGTCCACTCGACACAAACTAGGTCATTTCGGGACTAACACATGGTTCAATTTTATTTCAATAATTCGCTTGCGCGTAGGGGTCTTTAGCAGTGGGAGGAAACATGAGGACCCGGACGAAACCCACGAGGTTGGACAGGCGACCCTACTCCTTATCACGTACAACCGGGGAATCGAAATCCAACCAGTTGACTCAATGACAGACCGTATGATACAGCGTGCACGTGCTAACCATTTGGCCATCCAACCCCCCTCGTTAGCATGGGGCAGAACTTTATAAAAACCAAACAAATTCTAATGGTTTTCTGATAATTATTTAATGAGTTGTTACTCTTAATCAGATTTCAATGTATTATAAATGTTTCATTAGCGAAAAAAGTAAAAATATGCGACAGCTCTTGTTGACTGCTCAGACGATATAGCTGCTGTGGGCGTATGTTTTGTTGCCTGGCAACCTATCTTTGTATTTATCTTCTATAGGCTGCAATTCTGAATGGATCGTCTTGGAACTTTGCACATTTATTCTTTATACTGTAAAGACAGCAACTATTTATTTGGGTGCATGCCCTGACCCCCTAGGGCAGTGTCACACTCACTTTTTTTTTTTCATTATTTGGTCTCTAAATTTGGCAAAACAAACCCATAGCCTAGCCTTTTTTGTCTTTTGTCATATTACAGTCATTGCAGCTATTTCATTCTCTTCATTTTTATACGTCCACATGCAGGCCTCGAAATTAACAGCAGCCACCGCGGCCATTGCCGAGGCTGCCCTTTCAATTGGCCGCCGTGCCCTTAAAATCTTCACTTTGTCCATGGCCACTTGTGGCCGTGGTTGCCTGACATCTTAGCAGGGATGCCCCTTTTCTGATCCAGTAAATAAAACGTCTACCTGAGCCACAGATCTGGCCAATTACATCTGCTGGACGCCATATTACGTCATTTTCATCTGTCTCACGTTTTCTGATCGAGAAGAAATTCATCCAGAGATTTACACGTTTTTAATGCCATGTTGAATCCACTCATATATGGAGCCTTCCAGATTTGCAAGGTGCATACACCCAGGTTAGTTCAACTTAAGGCATTTCGAAATTACACCGTTTATCTAAAAATAAATTTTACTTTCGTTTTTGCCCCCATTCACATCGCCATACTAATTAACAATGTATACCAGTATGCTCATCTCGATTTTCGAGTAATTAAACATGTTCAGAAAGTTCTACAATATCGCCGCATGAATAGTCTCGGAGAACTGCATTCGGGCAACCTCGGTGGCCTCCGATACTACATTACATAATAGTGTATGGGGACCAGAATGAGCCAAGGTTGGCCAAATTTGAAGACGTATGTCAAAACGCGTGCGCATTCGCACTACACGCAAAACAAAAATCTACAAGATAAACCTGCGGACAAGACAGAAAATATGCATTGCACCGAATAAACAAATATCAAATCAAGTGAATGGATCCGGTTGATAATACACATGTAGGGGCCCGCATACTATGGAATAAGTTACACTGTATTTGATTGGATGAATTCCGCAAAATGGCGCGTGTAGCAGTCATTTCGGCTAATGAGAAAGCATATTATAATAAACTGTAAGACAGTCGCTAATATTCAACCGCGAACCTGCATAATCAATATTTTCATTGGCTAAAATTATAACACGTCATTATTATTCAAGTATTACCCAATCATATCTTGTGTAATAAATAACGCACGCCTTACAAAATGGTGAGCTATGCAGGGACATAGGTAAACTAGCGTACCGGTCGGACTAATTTATTGATGTTCAAGGAAATAAGTGGTCCTGTTCATTCGTTTCTGGAGTTTAACTAACGAACGGGACCACTATTTATTTCCTTGAACATCAATAAATTAGGCCGACCGGTACGCAAATATCTTATCTCGACTCGACTTTGGTGGGTATTCCCAGCACTTTCACGTTCGATGATATTGTCGAAACCATCTATAACTCAACAAGCTAATCAAATTTCGTCTAACTGGAATGTTTCCATTGTATTGTAACACAAGAATACGGAAAATTTATATTAAAATATGGTTATTTTATTTTTATACGCCCACATTTTCATGTGGACGTATTATGCTGTCGCCCCTGTCCGTCCGGATGTCCATCCACAATTGTTTGTGGACTCTCTACAGGTAACAATTCTTATCCGATTTTGACGAAACTTGAAATATAGATTTATCCCCAAAAGATCTCGGCTGCTTTCGATATTGGCATGTATCGGATCGAAACTTCATGGATTATGGCCCCTGATCGTACGAAAAATCACATTTTTTAGCTTGTGGACCCTATAGAGGTCACAATTTTTATCCGATCTTGTTGAAACTTAAAATGTAAATTTATAACCCAAAGATCTCGGTTCCTTTCGATATTCGCGCATATCGGACCGTAACTTCCTGAATTATGGCCCCTGATTGTACGAAAAATTGCGTTTTTAGCTTGTGGACCCTATAGAAGTCATTTTTTTATCCGATTTAAAAAAACGTATTAATATATGACCGTTACACCCTAAGGATGGTTGAGTTCGAATTTCGTGAAAATCGGCCCAAACTGACAGACAAAATGGCCGCCCTTCGTTCTCAAATAGCGTAAAAATATGGTATATCAAGGTTGTGGACCCTATAGAGGTCATAATTTTTATCCAATTTTGTTGAAACTTGAAATGTAAATTTATAACCCAAATATCTCGATTCCTTTCGATATTCGCGCATATCGGACCGTAACTTATTGAATTATGGCCCGTGATTGTACGAAAAATCGTGTTTCTAGCTTGTGGACCCTATAGAGGTCATAATTTTTATCCGATTTAAAAAATCTTATTATTATATCACCGTTACACCTTAAGGACGGCTGAGTTCGAATTTCGTGGAAATCGGCCCAAAACTGACAGACAAAATGGCCGCCCTTCGCTCTCAAATAGCGTAAAAATATGGTATTTCAAGGTTGTGGACCCTATAGCGGTCATAATTTTTATCCGATTTTGTTGAAACTTGAAATGTAAGTTTATAACCCAAAGATCTCGGTTCCTTTTGATATTCGCACATAACAGACTGTAACTTCCTGAATTATGGCCCCTGATTGTACGAAAAATCGCGTTTTCAGCTTGTGGACCCTATATAGGTCATAATTTTTATCTGATTTAAAAAAATGTATTATTATATGACCGTTACACCCTAAGGATAGCTGAATTCTAATTTTTTGGAAATCGGACCAAAACTGACAGACAAAATGGCCGCCCCTCAGTCGCAAATAGCGTAAAAAATATGGTAAATCAAGGTTGTGGACCCTATAGAGGTCACAATTTTTATCCGATTTTGTTGAAACTTGAAATGTAACTTTATAACCCAAAGATCTGGGTTCGTTTCGATATTTGCGCATATCGAATATTTATTTTCCCATTTAATTAATGTAAAGTTTATTCTAATGATTATGTTGCCAATATTGACAACAAATTGATTGATGAAGAGATATAAGCTTGCACACATTATTATTTTCATTGTATTGAAGATTTTGAAATGTCTCAATGGCACCAACTTTCGTAGTGCTCATTTAAATTATTGTGAAAGTGTGTTTATATTTCAGATGACGGAACAAGAGATAGAAAATGTATTAGATAAAAGTATGGTATTATTTCGATATCTACAAGAAAAAGATGTCTTTGAACGTTACTATAAACATCATTTAGCTAGAAGATTACTATTAAATAAAAGTGTTTCCGATGATTCAGAGAAAAATATGATCTCCAAACTGAAGGTTGGTTTGTTATGTCTTAAAGGAGAATGCTATAGTAAAGTTTAATTTTATCATTTAGTAGTGTTGAAAATCGGATCGAGATTTGTGATCCGTATACTTTTGTTGGCTATCCGAATACTATTCGGATAATTCGGAGACATGAAATTCTTGAACAAAATTACATCAAAAGTTCATATACCAGTACTCATAATTATTTACTTGTTTTAGTGTTTATGAGTGTCTGTGTATGCCGAGTATGAAATCGTACTTTCGATTTGCAAATTGTTTGAGCCGCGAAGAAAAAAAACCTGCCTACCTTTAGTAGTGCTGATATCAAGTATCGATTCATCGCCGATGCATCGATTCGGTTGACGCCGATTCGATTCTCGGTCCTTTTTATACGCCCACATTTTCATGTGGACGTATTATGCCGTCGCCCCTGTCCGTCCGTCCGTCCACAATTGTTTGTGGACTCTCTACAGGTCACAATTCTTATCCGATTACGACGAAACTTGAAATATAGGTTTATCCCCAAAAGATCTCGGCTGCTTTCGATATTGGCATGTATCGGATCGAAACTTCATGGATTATGGCCCCTGTTTGTATGAAAAATCACGTTTTTAGCTTGTGGACCCTATAGAGGTCACAATTTTGATCCGATTTTGTTGAAACCTGAAATGTAAGTTTACAACCCAAAGATCTCAGTTCCTTTCGATATTTGCGCATATCGGACAGTAACTTCCTGAATTATGGCCCCTGAATGTACGAAAAATCACGTTTTTAGTTTGTGAACCCTATAGAAGTCATAATTTTTATCCGATTTATATCACCGTTACACCCTAAGGATGACTGAGTTCAAATTTCGTTAAAATCCGCCCAAAATTGACAGACAAAATGGCCGCCGTTCGTTCCCAAATAGCGTAAGATTATGGTATATCAAGGTTGTGGACCCTAGAGGGGTCACAATTTTTATCCGATTTTGTTGAAACTTGAAATGTAAGTTTATAACCCAAAGATCTCGGTTCCTTTCGATATTCGTGCATATCGGACCGTAACTTCCTGAATTATGGCCCCTGATTGTACAAAAAATCACGTTTGTGGACCCTATAGAAGTCATAATTTTTATCCAATTTAAAAAACCGTTCTATTATATCACCGTTACACCCTAAGGATGATTGAGTTCGAATTTCATGAAAATCGGCCCAAAATTGACAGACAAAATGGCCGCCATTCATTCCCAAATAGCGTAAGAATATGGTATATCAAGGTTGTGGACCCTATAGGGGTCACAATTTTTATCCGATTTTGTTGAAACTTGAAATATAAGTTTTAAAAAAACGTATTATCATATCACCGTTACACCTTAAGGATGGCTGAGTTCGAATTTCGTGAAAATCAACCCAAAATTGACAGACAAAATGGCCGCCGTTCGTTCTCAAATAGCGTAAAAGTATGGTATATCAAGGTTGTGGACCCTATAGAGGTCACAATTTTTATCCGATTTTGCTGAAACTTGAAATGTCAGTTTATAACCCAAAGATCTTGGTACCTTTCGGTATTCGTGCATATCGGACCGTAACTTCCTGAATTATGGCCCCTGATTGTACCAAAAATCGCGTTTTTAGCTTGTGGACCCTATAGAGGTCATAATTTTTATCCGATTTAAAAAAACATATTATTATATCACCGTTACACCCTAAGGATGGCTGAGTTCGAATTTCGTGAAAATCGGCCCCAAATTGACAGACAAAATGGCCGCCGTTCGTTCTCAAATAGCGTAAAAGTATGGTATATCAAGGTTGTGGACACTATAGAGGTCACAATTTTTATCCGATTTTGTTGAAACTTGAAATGTAAGTTTATAACCCAAAGATCTCGATTCCTTTCATTATTCGTGCATATCGGACCGTAACTTCCTGAATTATGGCCCCTGATTGTACCAAAAATCGCGTTTTTAGCTTGTGGACCCTATAGAGGTCATAATTTTTATCCGATTTAAAAAAAACGTATTATTATATCACCGTTACACCCTAAAGACGGCTGAGTTCGATTTTCATGAAATCGACCCAAAATTGACAGACAAAATGGCCTCCGTTCGTTCTCAAATAGCGTAAAAATATGGTATATCAAGGTTGTGGACACTATAGAGGTCACAATTTTTATCCGATTTTGTTGAAACTTGAAATGTAAGTTTATAACCCAAAGATTTCGGTTCCTTTCGATATTTGCGCATCCCGGACCTTAACTTCCTGAATTATGGCCCCTGATTGTACGAAAAATCGCGTTTTTAGCTTGTGGACCCTATAGAGGTTATAATTTTTTTTATCAGATTTAAAAAAACGTTTTATTATATCACCGTTACACCCTAAGGACGACTGAGTTCGAATTTCGTGAAAATCGGCCCAAAAATGACAGACAAAATGGCTGCCGTTCTTTCTCAAATACATGTAGCATAAATATATGGTATATCAAGGTTGTGGACCCTATAGAGGTCACAATTTTTATCCGATTTTGTTGAAACTTGAAATGTAAGTTTATAACCCAAAGATCTCGGTTCCTTTCGATATTCACGCATATCGAATTGTAATTTCCTGAATTATGGCCCTTGATTGTAGGAAAAATCACTTTCTTGTTGGCTTGTTCTCTATCCATCTTTCGAAAATGTGGGCGTATCCTGCCTGGCAGCCGCTGGTTTATTTAGACTACTGTTTTCGTTGCACTGCATTAATAATTTTATTAGTTACTTATAATACGCATAATGTTGACATTTATGCTCAGAGCTGCGTATGTGATCAATTGCATTGGGGAAAATTTCCAAGTAATCAGACGTAAAAATGGCTAAATATAGAGCATACAGAATGTCAGAATATATTGTAACGAATAGTAAACGGATTGTAAAATGATTCGGATAACCCTTATTTTGTATCCGTTAACGAATATCCGAATAGTAGTTTCAACACTATCATTTAGTAAGTTCACTGTGTAACACATTTCAGAATTATTTTTTGTTGCCTGCATGCTTGCAAATGTGGACTTTCGGACAGTTCAGGGAATAAAATAATACTCTTGTGCTTTAAATAAGTACATATTAAAGGAGCTAAATCGCTAACATTTGGGACCTAGAAATAGACACAAGTGGGTTGCAACTCATATAATACTGTAATATGAATGTATATAAACTGATTTACATTCAATCGTTTCCGTTTTTACTCTAGTTTAAAATCAGTTATGTTCCGTGAAATAAGCCAGCAGTCTCAATCGAATGCAAATTCCTAGGGTCTGGTTATTCCAGTCTACATACGCCGTTTGGTTTGGTGCAATATGTCTAGCCTTGTTCCTCGAGTCTCTTGTTAGAACTGGGGCTGAAACACATTATGGTACATGATTCGTGTACCAATGGTAAAATATTTATTTTGTCTTAAATATTGGATATCAGAAGCCCATCTTTTTCCGGTAAGATCACAGCATCAATGTTGTTTTAAATTGACAAATAATTCGTATTTTCAATGTTGAAGATTTGAGATGATATTGAGTTAGAGACTTAGCTACTTTAAATATTTATTTTTAATTAACAAACACATGAACAGAAATATAATATTTGGCTAATAGTTTCTGAATTGGCTAATAAAATTTTGATTTGGCTAACGGTTTTAAGAGTCTAGGGAGGTCACTGGAAGACGCTTCGAAATGGAAATATTCCCTGTGTTGTTTACATTTTGTTGCTATGGTTACTTCATTCATTTCTATTGCTAGACTTTGCAAGCTTGTCAGTTTCACACACTAGAATTTTATGGGCGGGAGGGACAGAAATTGCGTAAAACTTGCACAGTTTTAACATTACTATAGAAAGATAACGTGTTCGAAATATTAATAAAATTGCACTGGTTAATGGTACAAACCTCAGATGCCTATTATTTCATGTAAAGCCTGTCCAATCCCTGATGAAAATAATATTATTATCAGATGGACCAAATTCACTTCTTTATTTTGACCTGAATATTTATAAAGATTTTAATAAGTATGACTGTTAATTTTTTAAATAATTCTTTATAAAATGATTTGATACCAAAATAATAATAAACTAGAACTGCGACGCAGTAATGACAGGTTTCACCGGTGCCCAGTTACCCTTGAACATATGTCACTTCCGGTACCGATGAAACAATTAAACAGGTTTCCATATAAGCATTGCACACATAAAATAAAATGTACGCAGAAACTTCAAAATCCAGCAATATCAATTCATTGTAAACATTTGTTACATGTAAGTGATCCTGACAAAATTACATTACTTCCGGTGATAATGAAAATGTTATGAAATCAGAAATGGCATAAGGCATCTCATGGTGAAAATTTTATGTAAATCGAATAATAATTTCCACTTTCATAGACCAAAAACCTTGAACAGTGACTTGTAGAATATCGTCTATTTCTCTGCAACCGTACAAGTTAGAAACCATTTTTTGGTATCTGTATGATCGTATGGGTTCGATCTATTTGTTGATTGGAATGAAATATCATAATTTTAAAAACATTACAAATCAGACTCATTTGAATAAAACATCCGTTTTAAAGGCTAAAAATACAGTTTTTGCCAAAATAACGTTACTTCCGGTGATAATGAAAATCTTAAATTACTTGAATGGAATCATAAATGGCATTATGTATCACACGGTGAACATTTTATGAAAATCGAATAATAATTGACACTTTTATGGACCAAAAACCTTGAAAAGTTGCCTGTTGAAAATCGTCTATTTCTCCGCAACTGAACAAGGTAGAAACCATTTTGTGATATCTATACTATTCAAAAAAAGTAGGGGATATTTGATTTTTAAGTGTTATTAAAGTCACCTAATGAAACTGACGAAGAAACAAATGACAAAATGAAATGAAGTTCACATTCATCGATTTATTCCAAATGATCGTTAGACTAAGTAAAGCACAGACTGACCATTATAAGGGTAAAATGATACCCGGGGTCAAACAGCAAAGTTACCACAGCATCACAACCAAGTCAG